AACACAAGAATAAAGACTGTTATTTTAGCCATGTGACTGTAATTTTCACATCTCGTATAGTCACCATTAAAATATGTGAAAGCAAACACCGGGGGAACAGGAACAAAAACAGTCCCTGGGTTATACATAAAGTATGATGGCATGTTCACACTAGCCCTATGTTAAAACTAATCAGTGGGCCAGTGCCCATTGTGTGCATTGCGTTGTTACAAGGCAAGATTGACTTTTTTCTTCTTCAACTTCAGAAGACACACAGAACCGACTTAACCACTTGCTGACCGGGGTGTTAAACCTCCTTTCTGGCCAGACCATTTTTTAGTATTCAGCACTGCGCTACTTTGACATTTATTCCATCATGCAACGCTGTACTGAAATTCATTTTTTAGGGACAGATAGCGATTTCTTTTGGGGGGTTTTATTTTTTACTATACAATGAAAAAAGTTTCGGAAATTTTGATTAAAAAAAACCTGTTTCCCTATGAAATGTTATGATACATTTATCACCACCCTGATTTTTTTGGTAAAATATAAAAGACGGGCTCACGTCGGGTAAATAGACACCAAACATATCAAGCCTTAAGATTGCGCATGCCCGCAAAATCGCAGAAAAAAACAACACCCAAAACTGGCCATAGGCAACACTTTAAAAGCTTTTACTGCTCATTAGTTTAGAGTTATCAGTGATTGATGGCCCAAAATTATTACTCTCACTGCGACGTTTGCGGCGATATGTAACATGTGTGGCATAATAGGCAGAATCATCGTTTTCATATGTAGACGCTAACAAGCCCCCTATGCAATAGTCAATTTACATGATAGGTCCTCTTCATAGAGACATCAGGGGTCTTGGAGACCCCTAATGTCACCTAGGGACCCTCAGAGAAGCTGATGAAGCAGAGATCTGCTTCAGCAGCCAGGAATGACAGCTGAATGCGGAAGTGATGTAATATACATCACTTCATGCATTTGGGGACCGGAGATCAAAGGGAGATTGTGTACTGTTCTCCCTCTGATCTCCTGTGACAGAGTCACCGTGCCGGTCCCAGCGGATCTCGGGAGTGGCGACGGCGGGGCGTACACCCGCACCTAATACAAGCAATCGGGCGTCTTTACAGACGCCAGAACGCTTGTATGTAAACAGTCATCTCTGGCTGTTCACATTTTTGACAGTTTACCCACTCGTGCGTGGCGCTCAGAGTTTTAAGACGCCCACACGTTCCTATAAGACTCCGGTCCAGCTGTTTAGGAATGACCAATGGACGGGAGGTGGTTAAAGAAGGGTTCCAGGCAAAAACAATCTTAATACTTGCAGTGAGGCAACCCCTGCAATACAAGGGTTAAGGGCTCGTTTTTGCCTGGGAGCAAATATAACAACGTTATAGTCACCCAAACCGCGATCCCGGTTGGCTGTTAGACCGGTCCCTGGAGCCTCTCTCCCCCCTCCTGCAGCCTAAGGTTCTGTGAGTCACAGTGTATTGAACATGAGGACGCTGAGGGACATACCTTCACCACAGAGGAGAGAGGCTTTAGGGACCGGAGTAACAGCCAGCCGTCTCAGAGGATCAGGTGAGCATATCTTTGTTATTTTCACTCCTAGACAAAAATGAGCACTTAAAGTGACATTACATTCAAAATGATGCATCTTGATCCGATCATCTTCTTCTTTCCACTTACATTCAGCAATCCCTCCAGCGCTGGTGCTGGTCTTTTATCTAGCATAGACTCCAGTCTCTTCCTGTCCCATGGTGTCTCCCCACCCTGTGCGCTCCCGGCCACGCTCAGCTCCACTGTGTCTCTGCTTTTCTCCGTGCCGAAGATGTTTAGTGTGCATTCGCCCGCACTCATCCTCCTGCATGGTCACTCGAGAAGCTTCAGATCTTCAGATGTGAGCAAGCGGCAGAGGCACAGATAAGTTTTTACCTTTTTGGTGACTTTTTTTTAAAAAGGTTTTTGCATATATCTACAGCTTACTAGCAGTATATATGTGCAATAACAAAGGAGAGTTTAATTCTACTTTAACCCTTGCAGTACGGGGGTAGCTCCACTGCAAGGGTTAAGATAATTTATTTCCCGGAGTTCTCCTTTAAGGAGGGTGCTGGTGCTGTGTGAAAAAAATGCTGACATGGTCCATTTTTCACACCGTAGCTCACCTCATACCAGTGTTGGTCACGCACTGCATTTGTGAAAACAAATAAATGAAATGTTACTTTGGCATTTCAATTAAGTTTAAAACACAAAGTAAACAATGGCTTGCATTGTAACAACGTGCCCCCACAATGGACACCACCGGAACTTTTCTAGCGTGCGGGATGTTGTGAAGGAGCCCTAAACGCTCCACACAATCCTTGCATCTCCGCACATGGCACGTGAGGGAATTGCTGAAACTAATAAAATAAAAGAAGAGTGAAGCACACTGGATTTCTTGATAATGAAATAAATAAAAAGAACAGCATTCACAAAGGCTGGAAGAGTAAATCAAAGAGTGACATTGTGTGCCAGGTACGAGCGTAAATTGACAATCATCACTCCCTCTTGAAATGCCAGCATAAAGGATAAGTGGGACAAATTGTAACCTGGAAGTATATGCACGGAGGCCACCACCACTCAAGAAAATATATGGCCAAAACAGCTATCATCATTCCTCCAAGATGGAACCTGACAGCAGAGTGGTGGTGGTGCCATCTGATCACTCAGAAGTAGGCTGAGCTGACTGACTCGGACAGAACTTATATATTTTATTATCACACTATGTGCAGTGACTCTTCAACACTTGATCAATGCCAGGGCACATAGAAAGTCATTGTTTTCTATGTGCCCTGTTCACACAGCCCTCAGATAAGTTGTAGAAAAAATGCAGACATGCTATTTTTTCACGTAACACACTGGAGCTTGCCTGAAGTCACCGTCTGATTTTGTACCGCAGCAGAGCTACAATGCATAGGAATAAAAGAAATGTCAATGAATAAAATGTAAAGGTGACATTTCAATAAGGAAAAGAAAAAAGCTCAAGTGTGTGTTGCGTTATAACAAAGCAAGGCTCCGCCACCCATTACCAGCACACAGTGGACACTAGCCCACACGCTATCATGGATCATTTTAGTATAGGCCTAGTGTGAGCCTCAATATTAAAATATATCAAGCTGTTCTTATCAGTGTATTGCCCTCTAGGACAGTGCGTGGCGGATCAGAAAAATCCACCTCGCTGCAGCTTGTGTGTTTCTGTAAAAACGCGTGTCACATAACTGTCGATGGCAACGCATGCAATACACATGTAAAACACACCCTGCATTCTCTTTAATGTTGATGCAATGCATTAAAATGCACTAACAGTGCATTATACTTCTGAAGGGGATACACACGTGCGTTTTTTAACACAAAGGTGCAAAAGGGCCCCAATTTGTTTCTGCCAACTGTTTGTAGAATTACGGTGATGGAGAGGACAGGTTATTACTCTATTGTGAGGTAAAAGGAGATACTACACCCAGCACAGTGGTGTAGCTATACAGATCTATATGGTTCAATATGAACCTCCTTTTAGATCAGGGGTGGTCAAATCTGGCCCTCCAGCTGTTGTAGAACCACAAGTCCCATGACGTACTGCAAGACTGACAGTCACAGGCATAACTCCCAGAGGCATATTGGGATTTGTAGTTAAAAGCACAGCGTGAGGGTCAGAGTTGCCCACCCAATTCAGAGTGTAAGCTCTGACACGCAAGGTCCTCCTAACCTTCTCGTATTTTAACTGTACTGTCTCCCTTCAGTGCCCGTTCACACAAGCCCATCTGCTAAAACACTGCATTTTAGCAGGCAAGCTAGTGCATTGTGGAAGAGTTGAGTTGTTGCCATTTACAGCTTCCTATAAGTTTATAAAGGAGTGTATGTAAAAATGTGTACACTGCATTCAGGTCCTGTCATGTGGCCCTGAATTCAAAACCCACCGCCCTTCATGTTGTGATGTGAACAGGGCACATAGAAAACAACCGGGACCTAGCGTTGACCAGAGGCGTGTTCAGTTGCTCAGCTGCTGGGAGTGCCGAGTTAGCAAACCGCCGCTGAACGCTGTGCTACGAGTCAGCGCTCAGCACTGCTAATTTAGCAGTCGCAACAGAAGTGAATGTGGATGCAGAGCACTGATACTAGGAGATGATTGTTTAGCCTTGCAAAGCGCTTATTTCTAGGCGCTTCCATTGAAGTCTATTGGGCCAAAAACGCTCCATTCTGCTGTGAAAGTAGCTTTTGCTTTTCCTGTTCACACCATAGCATGGTGGGAACGCAGGACGTTCTGATGCACGCTCTCATGCGTCCCCATTGATTTCCATCGAAAGGGTTCCTGGATACACATCAAAGCAGTGCTTGTAGCAAATTCTGCAACACGCGTTCCACATTTTCCCCATGCATTTAAACATGCAACGGCATTGCAAGCACGTCTGACGTTTTTGACGTGTTCCATGAACGTGCATGGTTTTCCTGCTTTTGCCTTCACACAACGTGATGGTATGAACGTGGGTTAAGACGTCAGGCATCTGAGCGCTCATACATGAATGGACACCATTTAAAAGTATGGGATTTTGGTCATTGTGTAGATGAAAGGAAAATGCTCCGATGTGAATGTAAAGCCCTCAGTAAACTGTTGGTGTGATCTAAAGCCTTTATTGTAATGAGAATATCCAGGCAGCAGCAGAAGGGATGCTGACACAGGTCACAGGCTGGACACGCTGTGTGCCTGACAGGAGCTGCCTTGGCGCCAATTTTCAGAGCAGTGCCGGGAGAGTGACAACACTGTCCTGACATGCCGCACACAGGCGGGAGGGGGCCGCTGACATAAGGTCACCTTTCCAGCCCCGATAGACAGGAGGAGCAGAGTCAATGTACACACCCAGGACTGCCTGCACACACAAAGCATGGCTCTCCGGGGACAGCCCCGGTGTGACAACCACATCAGGCATGGGACACGGTCACGGCCTGGATTGTAGCGAGGGGGGGGACGCAGGGGATCTCACCTTCTCTGGTGCAGCTCTGCCTTCAGCCTCGGTGTAGCGCGCCCACTTCAGTGCTTGTGGAGGGGCCTGTGCATTCCCGAGCCCGGGCCAGCCTGGCAGCAGCACCCTGGGCCAGTACAGAAAGGCCGGCTGTCTGGATCGCTGGAAGGAAAGCTCGCCTCAATGTTTCCTCCCTGATCGCAGCCTCCCAGCAGGCGCACACATCCACACACAAGAAGCCTATTGTATTGACACCGCTCGCTGGCTTCCCACGCTCCTCCTCTTCCACTTCCTCCCTTGTTGCATCCCTTCCTCCCCTCCCTGCCCCTCTCATCATCTGTCTGCATTCCAGTACTGGGTCCCACCGGCTGTGACCCCGGCATCATCATCATCTGGGGGTGCTCGCATGTGTATATGTCACGCTGTTATTAAAAGGCCGATCACTGACACGTGTCTGCACCTGAATGTCACCCCGACTTTATTATCTAAGGGGTGCCCACATAGGCCATGCGTATACATTTGTTAAAGGGCCGATCACTGACACGTGTCTTCCTCTGAGAGCTGTGACCCCCGACTTCATGATCGCATATAGGCCGTGTGTGTATATGGCATTCAAGAGCCGATCAGCGACACGTATCTCCCCTTGCTGTGTGCACTTTCTAATACGCGGTGCCAGGTGCTTCCTCTGAGGTATGGCTCAGCCTTCTCAGAACAGAAGCTGATTCTTTCTATGATTTCCATTACCATGCCACAAGTCGAGGCCTTCAGTCTCTAGTCTGCATTGTCATGCATTTTTTTGCTGTGTTTGTCCCTGTTCACACAGGGCATGGACTTTAGGCCCCTTTCACATGGTCGGTTCATTCAGGTCTGATGCCCAATTCTGGTCTATGGGCAACAAGGTCTAAAAGGACGGGCGTCTGTTTACACCGAGATACCCCAAACTCCGACCAGGTCCAGAAAAACACTTCCATTTCGCTGGACCTGATCATGCCGGATTGGAGGCAATCTGATATAAAGGGACACATGTCCTATAGACCGACATGGGGTCCGGTTATTTCATTTTTTTCCCTCGATTGCAAAGTGGTGGAAAAACTTGGACAGGCATGGATGTCACAGTGGTAACATCCGATCCATACCACAGCCTGTGTAAAAGGGGCCTTAGGCTGACATGAGCGTCTTTGATCATTTTTCGGGGGGAATTTTCCTTAAAAGAGAACTATGGGATAACCTTTTTTTTCCCATAGTTCTCCTCAGGGTCACTGGAGGACATATGCTAATATCCTCTCATAACCCAAAAGGCAGCATATAGCGGAATTTTGCCCGCTATATGCTGAGAACACTACAGCTGGGACAGATCCCAACAATACTGTCAATATACAGCCCACTGGCTGATTGGCAGCGGTCTCTGCCTATCTGGAGGCTGAGCCAGCTGTGCCCCTCCCCTGTCTGTTCCTCCAGTCAGCGCTGGAGGATCGGGGAGCGGGAATCTGTGGGGCGATGTGACTGACAGTCACCACTCTGCATGATCGGGAAGTGTGCCGATCGGCGGTACGTTTTCTCTCACTTCCTGATCAATAGAGCCGACGTGTGACAGTTTCAATGACACACATCGGCTCTAACTATAGGAGTTAGTGTAATTCACTCACCCCATAGTTCTCCTTTAAGACCTCATGTATGCCGCGCTGCGTTGAACACAGAAGTTATCACTTGTTCCTGGGTTCAGAGTTTCCTGGGTTTAGCCATGTTCACAGGGTTAGTTTTGTAAAACCAGGATGGACGGTTCCAGGACACAGGCATTTCTTGTTTGTATAAATTCAGATAGACTGAACGCACTATCCTAGACACTGCTGAACGTCTTATCAGGGGAACTCAATATCGTGTTAGAATTTTGGCATTAATGCATCCTAAGAAACGTCTGCGCCAAATTCTAAGACATGTTGCACCACTTTCCAGACTTCTACTGACTCCTGTGCCAATTTCAAGCATTCTTAATTTTTATCATTCTGGCACTGTGCTGCAACATCTCTAATAAGCTCCAACAGATTGGTAATGAGAAAAGTGACGCAAAGTAAGAGCACGTACTCTTTGGCGTAACTAGTCTATGGCACGTTCATATGGTATATGTCTGTCGCAGTGTGTGCAGCACATACCTCAGGTGCGACATTCCTTGAAACTTGAGGATCTAACTGAAATCTATCTCAGACACATATAGGTGTGACACTTTGGACAGAGATGGGACACACCTATTTACTTTGTTAGTGTGCATATATCTGTCCCAAAGTTTGTCTGGCAAGCCGTCAGTTTCATAGGTTTGCGCCAAATTCATGAACGCTATGCAGCCTTGCACATGAATTTGGCTCAAATAAAAAGCCTATTTCTGTAACCCTGAGACACGTTTCTTATGTCTCAACCACACCACATTTAGAAATGGATTTCAATGCCCATTTGCATGGGGCCTTAGCCTACATTCACACCTGAGCAGAACATATTTCTAGTGATTTTTAAGCTTTTTTTCTGAGTTTTTGCATGTGTAAACACGTTTTTGAAGCATTTTTCAAGCTTTGTGCAAGCTTTAGGCCTTGTTATAACCAGGGCCGGATTAACATAGGGACTATTTGAGCGCCAGCTCTGAGCCCACCACTGAAAATAGGCCCGACCGACTTGAATCGGCTGTAAATTATCCCCGCTTCCTACCCCCCGACTCCCTGTCACAACTCCCCGACGGCCCCGAACTACAGAGCTGCCCACATGTGCACCAAGTGGCAGGCCCCACCTCCCCAGGCATTCCCCCAGCTCACTGATTGGCAGCAGGACAGGGCCTGTAGCCTATGCTCGGAGATGCGCTCGGATTGGCTGGACATCGAGCGCCACTCTCCAAGATCTGCATGAAAGAGGTGCCAGGAAGCCAAGTGCCACTGGCTGAATGGGCCGCCACCAGGCTCACTGAACTCCTGTACCAGCTGCTCCAAAAGTAAGTGGAGGAGGGGAGTCCTTTGTTATTGCTGGAGTAGGGGAGCGACCGCTGAAGAGCCACTGTCAGGGCCAGAGAGGGGAGCCCTAAGAGGGGGTATATGGAGGTCCTGAAGTATAAGGGTCCTAGAGTGTTATGGGGGTCCTGAGGAATGAGGGGAGTTTTTTGGGGCTCCTGCAGTATAAGAAGGGTGTTATTGGAGTCCTCCAGTATGGGGGGGTTGTTATGGGGATTGTTTTAGGAGGTTCCAGAGGTATGGGGTGCATTATGGGAGTTCCAAGGTAATGGCGGTGATATGTGGCAGTCCTGAAGCATTGGGTCAGCACGGGTTATTTGATTGGGAGGAGGCTGTTTAGTGGTCATTTGTTGGTGTGTTACTTTCAGCAGGGTTGTTTTGGTGTGTAATGGTGGTTAGGGCAGTTTGATTTTTTTTTGGGGGGGGAAGGGGGGGTTTGATGAGGGAATGTTGCTGTATTGATAAACGGGGGCCACTGTTTGGGTCAGCAGGCGATAGTGGGTACATTGTGGTTAGCAGGTGATAGCGGCAGCGGGTTTATTGGGGTCAGCGGGTGATAGCAGTGGAGGGTACAATGTAGTCAGCGGGTAAGAACAGCAGTGGGTCCATTGTGGTCAGCGGGTGATAACAGCAGAGTGGGTACATTGGTGGCAGCGAGTGGTTTTTAATTTTTTTTGATGGTGTGGAAATGATAGAGCTGATTGGAAAGCTCCAGCTTTAACTCTGCAAGGGGGTGTGTTGGACATTTGCAGACAGACCACTGCTTCCAGACAGAGAGCAAGAGTCCTCTACAGCATGCCTTCGGGTGACAGGCTTTTCTTTTAAGGCTGTAGCTGAACTGTAAGGTCGGATTTATATTTGTGTGGTAACACGCGTTGCTTTAAAGTGCAACATTTTTGGGGATAGTGTGGAGAAGGATTTTTATTCTGCCCCCTTTAGGAAGATTCATCCCCTCTATCTGTCCTGGTGACCGTTATCACTGAATCCTATATTTTGTATGGTCACCAGAACTGGAATAAAATGGGAAATCTTCCAACAGGGACACTAGTTCTGGTGACCCTGCTGACCACCAGGGATTTCCCTCACTTTGGAGGGATTTCCTTGCGCTTCTTTTTGTGGCTTTTGGACAGGAAGTGAAGGGAAATCTTCCCAGTGGGGCACAGGTGGCAAACCAAAGCTAACTGGGGTTATAAGTAGGGATGCACCGATACTGGTTTTTCAGTGTCCAGTACGAGTGCCGATATTTTTTTTTCCGGTTCTAGCCAATACCGAAATCAGCATCCCGAGGTTCTGGCTAATCAGGAAGCTGGTGTTCTAACGAAACACCGGCTTCACTCTGCAAGACAGCCCGGCTTCCTGACCAATCAGGAAGCCGGGTCATGACCCGCCGCCCAGACAAAAAGTTTTCTTTAACTCTTGGCACTAATGGCTGCCAGCTGAACGATCCACTTGCTGTGGCATACTCAAAGTTTTCAACAGTTAATCACAGTTTTTTTACACAGACTTGAGGGGCTGCTCATCCAAGGCCATGACCCGCTGCCCGGCTTCCCGATTGGCCTGAAACTGGCTCATTGCTCCCTCGCAGTACTGCCGGTCAGAGGGGTAAAAACTTCCAGCTCGCTCCCGGCTGTGGATTTGTAGCTTCTCGAGCGGCCATGCAGGAGGCTGTGTGCGGGCGCATTGAACAGTAGAGATAACCGGCGGGGAGAAGAGGAGGGACACAGGGAGAGTCAATGCATGCAGCTGTGAACGTGCACGTCGGACAAACACCATAGGACACGAGGAGTCTGTGCTGGATCAGAGACCGGCACCAGCGCTGGAGGGATTGCTGAAAACAAGTGGAAGGAAGAAGATGATCGGATCAAGAGACATCATTTAAGGCAAGTCCTAAACAGATACAAAAAAATATGCATAAAAAAAGATTTGCTTATTATTTTTATTTTGAATTATTCAATATCTACAGTGATCCAATCTTCGTATAAAAGTAATAATAATCTAGCTGTAAAGGTTTAAAAAAGGACATTACAATTTGTTCCATACCTTTTTTAAATACAAAGAGATTTTCTAGATTTATATGAAAAAAACAACAATATTTTTAGAAATGCATAAATCCTTTGGAATAGCATCCACCGTTTTGTCATCACACAGATCGGTGGGACGTAACCAGTAGCTTATGATGTTGCTTGTGGTTGCCTCGAAGCTGGTGCATACCATTGAAGCAGATGCATGAAGTCAAGTGCAGGTTGTCTTGTTTATATTATCAAATTAATTGGTGTTTGATGTGACGTGTTGACACTTGTTATATTTTAATGTAGCTCATAAGCTGGACCCGTCATGAGAATTGTACAGAGATTGTTCTGGCATGGTTGTACATCTACACTTATTGAAAGTCATCACTGAAGTCACCGTCACTGGCTGAAGAAAGATTGCATGCATCACTGCTATCATACATATGTACATCGGACACAAACATTTTATAGAAAGAAGCCATCATCATTTTACACAAGATTTGTTCACAGAAATGACTGTTTCACAGTAAAAAGGACAATTCCATTTGAGTGCATTTACAAAATAACAAAAAGGTAGAATGCTATAGCTGCATCATTTGCTATAAAATAAACATGAAAAATAATACAAAGTTGATTTCTGAATCTTTTATCGTTTCCCAAAAACAAACCTTTTATAGGGCCTTTCTGAATGTAAAATTATTTTAAGCAATATTTACCATTTTACCAAACTACTCCACTTAAGCTACTAAAACGATTACAGTATTATACATGTCAACATAGTGCAAGTTTAGCCTTATCACATTTGCAGTTAATATTAACACTACAATAACCATTTATTTTCAGATAACAGAATGGGAATTTATTAAAACAAAATTGAAATAAAAAAATAAATTTAAAGAATGAGTTCCTAGTGGGTGTTTGTGACAAAGTTGGCTGATCTGGAATGTGTTTGTTTTGGTGGAAAGTTCCATAGAATCCTTTAGCATCTTAAGAGCATCGTAACAAATATCACATTTATATAATATCAAGTCATGTCCACTTGTTTTCTCTTTGTTTAATCTGCGAGTTCTAGAAGTAGTACAGGTCCCTACATGTAATATTTCCTTTCCAGCACCAGCATTTGCCACCAATCTTTGTTGGTGCAGATGTTGGGGTCTGTCCACTGCTTACATTTAGTAGCTTGCGTTTTCCAGAAAGCATGCAGAAACATTTGTGCTGAAGCCAGACTTTACCAAAATTCAGGAAATTATATTTAAAAAGGAGAAGTATTGGGAGAGTAAAATTTACTCTTCCCAATACTTTGAGCCAGTGTGCGACACTGCATTTGTCCCATGCCAGCTCTATAGCAGAGTGATCACGAACCACTGATCGCTCAGTTCATGAGCTTTGCCCTGCAGAGAGTGATGACTGTCAATCACCGCTCCCCACAGGGATTTCCCCCTCTCTTGCTGTTTTACTTTCCCACACATTAATATGGCCTCGGTTACAGGGGTTGCAAAACCAGTCAGTTGATCTGCTGTTTTACCGCCCCCCCCAGCTGCAGTGTGAGCACTGTGGTTGAACAGTGCTTTATACATTGTTGCAGCTGCCATGCTTTACGTGGTGGCAAAAAATATACAGCATGTTACGTTTGGCAGGCAGTGCCACTTGTAAAACGCGATCATTGCAATGAATGGGATTTTGCTACAACTGGTTCAGTGGGTATTGTAATAGAAAATCCCCATCGGACTTTTAAACAAAACACCCAAAAAACTGCATTCAGGAAGGAGCAGTTTTCGCAAAACTTTTTTTTTTTTTTTAAATAGAATAAGGGGTTAAAACCTCTGTTTTTTTTTAAAACCCCATTAGGTAGATTCACTCTCTCTAATTGCCCTGATCACCAAAGTCACCAGGAATAAAAGGATGGATAAATCCCAAATTTTGAGGTGCCACCAGAAAAGGAATAGATGGGAAATCTTCCAACTTGGACACTAGTTCTGTTCCTGTGATAATTGTCTAAGAGGGAATTTCCCTCATTTTGGAAAGAAAGCCTCTCTGTTATAATGCCTCCAGGTCTGCCAGTACTACTGATGATGTTCACATAATCCCTTGCAGAATTTCTGCTAGTACCTCTAATGGCGCTAACAGAATCCCTGCTAGCAATTAAAAGCCTCCCAGAAACAAGGTGCATTAAAGCACAAGTCCTGGATGTGGCCGATGCTGGGTCTTATCAGCTACCCAGCCATGTGTCTAAAGAGACATTCCGAGTTGTCTGTTTTGTTGATGACCCAGATCAACCTGGCCATTCTCATGCCTGCGTATCACCTCTGCCTGGACCCGATCATCCTGCTGTCTTACCCGTTGTCTACCCCCGCCCGGACCTGACCATCCTGCTGTCCTACCCATTGCCGACCTCTTCCTGGACCCGACCATCCTGCTGTCTTACCCGTTGCCGACCTCTGCCTGGATTCGACCATCCTGCTGTCTTACCACTTGTCAACCTCTGCCTGGACCTGACCATCCTGCTGTCTTACCACTTGTCAACCTCTGCCTGGACCTGACCATCCTGCTGTCTTACCCGTTACCAACCTCTGCCTGGATCTGGCCATTCTTTAGTCTCTCCCTGTTGTACCATCTCTACAATGTAGCTTTCTAGTTCGCCACGCATTCTCTGGTATGGCGCTCCCGAGGACTGCGACCTGGTACCAGCACACAGCATCTCCACCATAAGGCGTTCAGGTAGACTTTGCACCTAGGGTGAACCTACATCACCACCAAGGGGTGTTGCCGTAATACTCACTTCCTGTTGTGTATACAAGATAGGAAGTGAAGGGAAATGTCCATAACAAGAAACAAATGGCAAGGAAATCAAAAACCGACAGCAGTTTTATCCCTCCCCTACTCTATTCAAGTTTCAAAGTTTTTTGGTTTTTTTGGTTTTGGCTTTAGATATATTTAATATTCTCAATTGAGCCAATATAAAACCAAGGATAATCTTGTTTTGAGATAGCGTCACTTTTAATTTTTACTGTGGGTCATCTTTAAATAATGGATCGGTTCTTCTTACTTGTTTTTACTATATTTTACATGAAAACCAATATCTTAAAAATACTGCGTACAAATACTACGGTAACGAGATCTCTAAACAGAAGCCTGCTTTAAGTGAACAGAGGCAACAATCATTAATAAAAGAAAGAAGGAAGGTCTCTGCATGTCTTCTATGCGTACAAACTGCAAAAAGCATAGCCATAAACATATAAAGCTGAACTCTACATTCCCATCTGCATGTCGGCAAAGTTGTAAAAGTTATCCACATCTTGAGAGGCCGATGACTTGCTTTCTGAAACAAACACCTAAAAATAAAATAAAAAAAATAGATATAATATAGAATAGACAATAGACAGATTACCTAGAAATGCAGAGTATTACACTATAAATAGGAAAGTAGAAAATCGTTATTTAACTTGGTTCAGACAGCTCAATCAGAATAGTTCAAATGTTAACAGTAGATCTAAAGCCCCATTCACACTGCGCGATTCGCAAATCGCGCGTTTGTCACACGATTTGCATTTTGCGCGATATCGCGCAAATGCTTGCATTGAGCAAGCGAGAATCGCGGCAAAATCCGCTCCAAAAAGGCTGTAGCGACACACGACCCGCGACAGCAGGACCCTTTGCCCCATTGAGATGCATTGAAGAGCAATACCGCGCGATAAGGCCCCGTTCACATTGAGTGATTTATCGCAGGGTAATTCCCGCGATATCGCTCTTCAATGCTTTGCAATGGGGCAAAGGGTGCTGCTGTCGCGGGTCGTGTGTCGCTACAGCAGCACCCTTTTTGGAGCGGATTTTGCCGCGATTCCAGCTTGCTCAATGCAAGCATTTGCGCGATATCGCGCGACAAATCACGCGATTTCGCGCAAATTGAGCGATTTGCGCAGTGTGAACGGGGCCTTAACCCTAAGGCCCCATTCACACTGCGCGATTCGCAAATCGTGCATTTGTCACGCAATTTGCATTTTGTCGCGCGAATGCTTGCATTGAGCAAGCTGGAATCGCGGCAAAATCCGCTCCAAAAAGGGTCCTGCTGTAGCGACACACACGACCTGCGACAGCGGGACCCTTCGCCCCATTGAGAAGCATTGGACAGCGATATCGCGCAGTAAATTGCCGTGATATCGCGGGAATTACCGCGCGATAAATTGCTCAATGTGAACGGGGCCTTAGGCCCCATTCACATGTAGCGACATACCTTTGCAGCGGCCGGGGATAGCGCGACTTTCGGGGCGACGTTCCAGCGACGGTAGCGCGACCTTCTCCGTCGGGCTCCATAGAAAAAAAGCAAAATCGCGCAAAATCCGCCGAAAAAAGGTTCCGGTAGAGGCCCCATTCACACTGAGCGATTTCCACGCTCATATTTCCACGCGATATCGCTCTATGTAGCTTCTCCAATCCATTTCAATGGAGCTGTTCACATCTCGTCGCTCAATATCGATTGTAGCTCGTCGCTGGTAGCTTGTCGCTCCTACATGACCCTTTTTTCAAGCGATTTCGAGCGATATTGCTCCTGATTGCATACAGCCCAATATCGCTCAAAATTGCGCGATTTTCATGTCGCTCAGTGTGAATGGGGCCAGAAGCGACTTGCGACCGCGACATGGAGCTAAGACAGCTCCATTGACTATCATTAGCCGGCGACTTCTCGCGATATCGCGCGGACAAAATGCGCCATATCGAGGCGGAAATCGCTACATGTGAACGGGGCCTTAGAATTAGTTTGCTCTAGCACTGGGAATCAAACAGTTGCCATTTTTTTTCCATAAAATACTGTTTTCACTTTTTTGTGATCTTCTCCAGCATTTCTCAGCCACTTCATGTGTAAATACATAAGCGCCAGTGCTGGCTCCACCTCATTGCTCTGAACCCCCTTCTAGATAGTAACAATGGTGGACCATGCCTGCACAATGTGTGTCCGTGCGGTCCATCGTCATCTTCACTATTAGTGCATGTGATAGGAACACAATGCAGGAGTACAACTGGGACACAGTTTTCACCCAATGACAGGAAGTGCTTTGATAAGTGCATCATGGCAGGATTACCAGGTATCCCTATAATAAAAGCTGCAGATTTTGAGCTACTGTGCTCATAATGCACATGTGTTGTGCGAACGTGTGCTGCAATGCGTTGTTGCAACTGTTACACTTATTTGCACTGCAGCAGGTTGTAGTGCTTTACAATATGTTGGAACATGCATCACGTTGGTGTGAATTGAAGCCGTAGGACACAACACTAAGCCAATGTTTTGCCTTTAGCAGCAGTATTGTCAGAGTGCTGTGTGCACTCCTTCTGTTGGCTATTGGGATGACCATCAGACAAGCAGTCCAATGGCAACCTGTAGGAGCACACAGGACAGGCTGACAACATTGCTGCTTATTGCCAGGCAGTGTTTTGTCAGTCTACAACAGATGTGCTGTTACTGTTACTAGCAGGATCTCCAGGTAAGAAACTTTACAACAGAATGAGGAAAAACTATTTGTTTAACCACTTGCCTCCGGACATGCAGAGCAGAGAAGAGCAGTGGGCTTTAATGCCAGGCTGCAACATTTATGAGTACAGCTGGTGGTGCTATGTTGTGCTCATTAGCCCTCTTCACAGTGACCGCGTTATCACTGAAACTTATGTTCACTTTTTCAGATCAATAGTTGGAGACAGGCTGCTTATCATGCGATTACTTATGTGAATAGCTAATCCCAGTGGTGACATGATCCTGAAGCCTGCCTCCATCTCTTGGTGTTAAAGTGGACCTTTACGCCCCCACACTACACTAAAAATCATATCAGCATTGAGCTCTGCATGCTGATATTAAATCGTCTTTCATTCATTAGATAAACGTACATTGCTTTTACAATCAGTTTTCCACTTCCTGGTCCTCTTAGGCATTAGTGATGTAGCCCATGCCTAAGAGTTGCATCTTGGGAAGGTTACATCAGCAGTGCATTGTTGGGAAATCTCAGGGAAGGCCTTTTTCCCCTAATATGATATGTCCTTGTCACATGTGCCAGAGTTCCAAGAAGTAGATGGAGATGGATTCATCTGCCTTTAGTTAAAAAAATGGCCACCATGAGAGGAATGGGAAGAAAAAGAAAAAGTATGCAAATACAAAGCCTGCAATTATCTTTCAGTATGTGTTTGTAGATTGTCATTACTGAACATTTCTAAAGGTGCCTGTTGTCATTTTATAGATAAGGGTGAAGTTCCACTTTAAGAACCTGTTACAGAGCGAGCAGCAAGGGGCTAAGAAAACTATCTACACGAAGACATGTTGCCAAACACTACCTATAAGGCTTTACATACACTTTGAATTCCCAACCTACATCAAACAATCAATCTTTTATTAGATTTATCCACAAAAAAGAAAGTAGAGCCCAAAACGACATTTTCATACTTACCATGGTGCCACTGAAGATGGTGCTAACAACCGACTGGCAGGCCTGTACAGCTTCATCTCCATTAAACTCCATTGCAACAACTGAGCCTAAACACATTAATACAGAATTAATTAAACCTCAAGTGAAATCTTATCTGCAATGAGATGGCTTCCATTGCTATCAATAGACAAATTCTCACTTTAAGGCTTCATTCACACTTACCAATTGTGTTTATGTCCTTTATATGCAGAGGACAATCTGTCAGACTAGGTGCTGTGTTTATACTTCTAGATGCTTTAAATGACGTGTGTTTACATGCATCCGGTACCAAATCCTAGCATCAAATGTGTTTACGTGTGTTTTGGTGCATTTAGAAGTTCATATTGATTCCTAGATGCACCAGACTTCTATTTTTGGAAAACAGAGATACACTGACTGCAGATAAAAGCATCTAGACACAAGGTGTGAATATACCCATTGGAAATCGTTAGATGCATAGAAATGAGTTTACAAAAGCTTTTTAAATGCATATAAAAGCATCTAATTGCACACAGTGTAAATGAAACCTAAGGGTACCACTTTTTAATAATATTTTGGTTGAATATTTAAATATTTGTTTGAGGGAATCAGTATGAAAATAAACATCTTTACTACCAGTTCTTTTCTAACCAGACAGGAGTAGCAATACCAGCTTAAACTGGGTCAAATCAGATCAGCTAGAGATGGTGCCATGTTATGCAACGCCTAATTTTAGCCCAGGGATACATAATAAATGGCTGCCAAGCTTCCACCCACTTTCTATCTACCTACCCAAAGTCACAAGCTCCAGTGATACACAATCCTCCCTGTACACCCAGCCAGAGAATTGTAGCCAGGCAATCTGTGCTCAGCTTTTGATTAATCAACTAAACGTCTCTAGACCAGCGTTTTTCAACCACTGTGCCGCGGCACACTAGTGTGCCGTGAGATATTTTCGGGTGTGCCGTCAATAAATCGTTAATTTCTTTGATAAGACCCCTTTCACTCGGGTGCCATCGGTTCTGATCTGTGCATGAATCCACTGCTGATTGGAGCAGTTCGGAATGGATGTCACAGTTATGACATCAGTGTCCGTCCAGTTTTTATACTCCATCTTACGATGGAGAACAGAAAGAAGGCTCAGAAGAGAGTCTGCCCTGACCAATGACTGTTCACCATTGCCAGCATTATGATGCTACATGTAAAATCCCCCATAGTAGCATAGCAGGTACAACGTATGCACTTAACATTATTCAGGCAAGGGCTGTACAAACCCCCAAAAATAAATGTGCTTAAAGCTGAACTCCAGTCCCACAGCCAAATGAACAGTTGAAATACACACATTAGCTGCCAAAGGATGTGTAATTCTGTTCAGAAATTCATACACATCTACCAGAGAGCATAGCCAGGAGAGTGACACCCCTTTTCTCAGAGATAAGGGATACAGTGGTGTCACCTCCATGCTGGCAGCCTATGAAGCAGTAGCATCCTACTGATAAGTCAAATTCTGCTCACTCCCCTCTCTTCCTGTCAGCATGCTCCTTGTCAGCACATGTGCCCACAGCAGAGGCGGATTCATTCCCAGTACTACCCTCCCTCTCACAGTCTGAATGTACAATAAAAGGTTGGGAGGCCGCTGTAAATACAGATTTTGGAACTTATATTAGTTGTACATAAAAAAACATTGGGGGGAATTTATCATAGCAATTGCGAGTGTTTGAACGTGCACGGAAAATATTTGCACCAGATTTATGATGCTAGTGTAATGTTGTTGATAAAGGAGGTTTAAAGGAGAACTATGGGGTTAAGGCTTTTCCCCATAACTCCAGGAAGAAGACTTTTAACTCCAGGCAAAAAGCATGGCAAAAAGCATAACTGTCGCAACTTGAGAAGTCATGGGGACTTCTTAAATTGCGATTGTTTTGTTACGTGATGCTCCAGTTTCAGACAGCCCAGAACAAGTGCAGATGAAAACACGTGCAAAAAAAACCTGCAACTGAAAAAGTAGTGCAAGCTCTGAAGAAAACAGGGGCACATGTTGAAAGACAGATTTGCACATTTAAAAAAATTATCTAAGAGGCTAAAACTGTTAAAATTCCCCCCATTGTTTTTATAGAAATTGTATTTAATGGTTTTTGTATCTGTGTGGAGTAAACAGTAGAGTTCATGTCCATTCATTTCCACTGATGTCTAAACAAGCAATTGAACTGACTGGTTCCTAAATTCTACAAGACCTCATTCACTCTGGGTACTGCCAATGTTTTACCTTTCTCCAATAATGGTATGAATTCTGTAACTCGGTCTCTGAAGACTCTTCTTGCATCTTCTTGTTTCATTGCAACTTCTTTTGTCTGAATAAGTATCAAACCTTTGCCAACCATCTGTGAGTGAAAGTGGTAATTATTATTAGATCACTGAACAGCAAAGAAAACAGATGTGTTGTCAGGAAATATTTTAGAATGCAAGACTTGTCAGCAAAAATTCAGCAAAAAAAAAGTTTGTTGTGTCCAGGGATGTTCCCTATAATGAGACAACCCGAGACGGCATCTCATCGAGGAGTGATCGGAAGCTGTGGGGGGGGGAGGCTTTCAGCAACCTGTGACTCTGTCTGGCGTCCCGCCCAGTTCACTAATGTCACCGGTTAGCCAAGAGCTGAGAGGGACACTCTGGCTTGCGTCCCGCCGAGCTCCTCGCAGAGCTTAACAGACAGCTGACAGAGCCGCTGCCAACACCGTCTGGAGTCTGCCTCCGCTTCCCAAGTGACCATTCCCTGTCAGCGCCCACCAAACGGGAATCACACTGCCTCAGGCGGCGAATACCATACGGCAGCCCTGTCAGACATTACAGGGCGGTGAAATCCATTTTAATCAATTGATAAAAGTGGGCCACATCCCAACAAAACGTCGATCACACAATTTTAATGGGCTGGCCACACACAGACCTGTAGTAGTGCAATACAATGCGTTGTGCTCTGCATGCAGGGGCGTTGGGTTACCACTGAATACATTGCTACAGCACGCCAGTGTGAATGGGCTTTTAGAGAACCTATTACAATGCATCAGCAGTGCACAGCTCTTACTGCACTGTGCACAAGGGGCATTTGCATACTTCAACAAACCACCATCATCTGGAAGGGCTTTTACGATATCAGCCACATACTGGATAGTGGTGCCAATCATATTGACATTCTGGAGCCAACACGGATTAGACCTCAGCAATATTATTTTTTGTGGTTACGGATTCTCAAGCGTTCTCTGTGACAGAGGGGTGGCATGGAACGCAAGCAGATGTAGAATACTCCAGCTAATTACTAATAGCAATACAATACTTGAAGGAGAACTATGGGGTCAGGGCTTTTCCCCATAGTTCTCCTTAGGGTAACAGGAGGACACAAACTAGCGTCCTCCCGTCACCCAAAGCTCAGTATACCGCGAGCTGGGACGCCGGAGTGGATCCCGACATCGATGTTTGGATCCGCCCAGCTGCGTGAGTGACAGCTGGCTCTGCCTATCCAGCACTCACCTCATAGTTCTCCTTTAGTGCGAAGTGCAAAGACTTGGCACAACCAACCTGCAATCATTTTTTCACTGCTCTATACTTATAAAAGCTAAAGCACATTGCTTTTTTCACCGCTCAGTTAAATAAGCCCTGTCATTTCTCTTGTGATTTGTGCCATCTTTCTGGCAAAGTGAAATAACTATTCTTGGTAAGCTGAAAACATCCTTTCAATAAGTGTCTTAAAGTGAACCTAGCATGCATGCCAAGTAATGTGTAAAGTAGGGCAGGGCTCAAAATTTCAAGTCCTGAACTACTAGCCAGGCCTTAAGAGTCACTAGCCACCAGTTGCCCCACCTAACCCTTAGCCTGCACCGGCCTCAACTCCGCCCCTAAACACACCCTCTTAAATAAATCTTATGATAATTCTTATCTTATGATGGTTGCCGCTTGTAAACGGCAGATTAGGGATTCCTGCTGCAGGAAAACACAAGTTCCTGACACAGGAATCTCTAATTACACCTGAAATATACTGTAGGTGTGAATGGGGCCTAATATGCAAATACACTAAAGGTGCCCATACACCTGCCAATTATCGTACGATAGTTGTGGGTGATCCCGCGATCGTACGATAATCGGCAGGTGTATGGGCAGCGTGCGACCGCTTCTACTGTAAGGTCGTACGACTTTCGTCGTGCAAGCACGCTGGAAAATCTGCCGAAAATTGTACGATTTTTGTCGGGTTGGTGGCATGGTCGGAAGACGAATGCTGCACGGGCCGGTGTGCGCAAGAGCACACTGCCCACTCAGCATTGCAATCATCGGAAGCCCTCCCCTTAGCAGAAGGGCTTGCGATGATCGCAAGTACAATCTGCCTGTCCAAGATGTGCAGATCGTACGAGATTTTAATTACCTTACAACCATCGCATAACGAAAGTCGTGTGATGGTTGTAAGGTGTATGGGCAGAAATGCGAGCAGGCGAGTGGAAATTTTGAGCCCTGAAGTAGGGTATACATGGTTAAAATTTTGTACAAAAGTAGTTGTTCTCGGAGCGTTCCTTCGAATAGCTATCAATTAGTATGGTGCAATCAACAGGCGAAAACGACAATGTTCCGACAACGACAAAGGAGAGTGTCGAAAAATATATTTCTCAAATGGAACTAATTTCTAAACGTCATTGTGGTTTTCATTCAAAGCAAAAATTCAATGAAATTTTGAACGACAATCGGCAAGTTTCTGATGCCAGCGTCGAACATTCCGACAGTATTTTTCCTATTAATGTTCGTGCGAAAATCTACACCGTGTATACACTAAAGTGTAATAGTTATTTATGATCTCACAGTACAATACCCTCATCGTTTTTTTGTTTCCAAAAAGGACAACACCATCTTCCCTAATGCACCATCCAGAGACATAGTCTACTTCCTAGGTGTAGATGCTGTTTAAGAGATGACATTGTAAGCCCTCCTAATCTTCTTATATTAAAATGCATTGTAAGGGTACTGCCTTATTTTTGTAAAGCACTGCAGAAACTGATGGCGCTATATAAATCCCATAAAATAAATGGGTGTA